GACGGCTTGCTTGAGGTTTTAGTCTGGTGTGCAAGACCGCGTTTCTTTTGCCTTGTACAATTTGTGACTTTAACAGTTCTGAACAAATCAACACCCATTCTTTTTTGGAGTTGGTAAATATGGTAGCTTACATAGTACTGATCACTATAACAGCATCGGCGGTGAGATTTGTGGTGCCAGTGATCATAGTCTCATCCGTGTTGGTGAGGAACGCCGTCGAAGTAAGGATCTCAAGAGTCTCCATGTACGACATGGAAGTCGAGGTGCTCACATCGATAGAGGTGACTGCGACAGTGGGGATCTGAGGTAAAGACGAGCACAATGCTGAAGGAGATGGAGATGTATCCAGGCCGTCGACGACTTCCGAGACCAACTTACACTGAGCTTCTTCAGTCGCCGAGGCAGCTACAGCCAATGACAAAATGAGTGAAGCGGTAAATGAGGGCACGTAGAAGGAGTGGAACGGTTCAAGGTCGGATACCGATTCTTGTGCCTGGTGTAAAAGGAATGTGGAGTTAATGCAGCCTTACTGAGGCAAACCTATCAACATTTATACACCAATGAATGTATGTCAACCACAGACACGTTCTGGTGGCGCCTAGTATGGCGCTGAGTGTTGTCGCATAGGCATAGGATAAAATGAAGCATATCGGGAACTCCAACCCCACTCTTGTTTTGCTTCCTACTGATCTGGAAACGTGATAGAGCATGAATCGAGGGGAAGGCACGGTCTAGTTTCCCAAAGACGCAAGGCTGCGCCCAAGAGTCAAGCCAGGTGGAGGTGCCTAGCCCAGGACCTTCTTCTTCTTGCATGGGGAGTACGGAACTATGGCGTTTGTAGATCAAAGGCAAATTTGGTCGATCTACTCGATAGGCGGAGGCGTCCCGTAGCGTATTGAAACTAAGCGGCAGGCTAGACTGGTTGGTACCTGCCAAGCGTGGGTCTGTAGAACAGCCTCGTTCAAACCTTGGAGGTTCTAGATTCTCAGGCTTGGGCCCGCACGGGGCCTTGCGATGCCTTTTGTATCTTCGCACATGGCCGGTATAGGCCTTCACTACGAGAAACTCTCCATGCGACCTCTCTAGCGAATGCGCCACAGGGGTGATGAAAGGAGACAACGCGACACACATGTAGAGATGAATAAAGGTGTCAAACTGCTGGATGGGTATCTGGAATTGGAATCTGCTATTGTTACGCCCGTGAATGCATTGCGCCCGGAATGTATTATACTGTGCGCCGCTCGTCGGGCATGTTTTTCCTTTCCTTGGCAGTGACCTTCTTGCGACGGCGTTCGATGACCTTGTCGCGCTGCTTCGACTTCATGTTCTGGAAGCGGTCGACCAAGGCAATCTTCTTTTGCTCGGCTAGAATGTTCAGTCAGTATGTGGAGCCTAGATGGGAGAGGGTGCGACATACACTTCTTTAAGAAGAAAGGCTTCTTGCCTTCCTTGACAAGCTCCTTCTCCTTCTTCTTGTGCTCGCGTGTTACATTCTCTAGCGCTGCCTTGTTCTCTCTAGCCTTCTGCTGCGACTCCATAGAAAGTAGCATCTTCTTCAGTCGCTCCTTCTCGGTTTCGTTCTTCGTCTTCTTGATGGTGTTGCGCAGCTCTGAGATTTCAGATGCCCGGTAGTCGTTGAGGAAGGAGTAGCGCTTGCCGACTACGTGCTCGTCTGGCATGGGTCCTGATACGTTACTAAATCGTGGGTCTCGGAAGACGGGCTTCTTGACCTCGACGACGTTACGCTTGCGCGACACCATGCGTTTACTAGACTGGACGGCTGGGGCGTGTTTGCTTGAGCGCGCATGGGGAGCGGCATCTGAATCCGAGTCCTCGTCGTCACTTGCTCCCTGCTTCCCTTCGCCCTCATTCTTGGTGTCCTTTGTCTTGGACTTGCTTGATGTTTTGGCCTTCTTGCTGGGCTGCGCACCACTTGCAAGCTTCTCAGCCTTGATCTGACGCAATCGCTCGCGCAACGCCTCCAGCTTGTCGTCTTGTGATGTGTCGTCGCCTCGTTTGCGCTTTCGGTCGGTGGGTTGTTGTTTTGACAGCGATTCTTGTGCCTTGGCTAGTGCGCCGAAGGAAACTTTGCTCATTTGGGCTTTGACTTGGTCGTCGTCGTCATCGTCGTGGGCATCTGACTTGTCCATGTCAGCATGATGCACGTATTGATTGTCGCATTCGATGCTCACCGTATCTTCGAAACCCGCTTCCTCATCCTCATCAGAACTAATCACGTTGCCGCCTTCATCCCCATCAATTACCGACGCAGACGAAGATCGGTCGGTGACCTCGTAGTAGTCTTCGCCATCCGAACTGTCTTCGGCGGCTCGCAAATTGCGGTCGAGCTTGTTGGCGAGGACCATGGTGGATTCCAGTCTCGCAGTCCAGTGATAGAAGCGCTGGCGCCAATGGTTGTCGGTGTACAAGGCACAGTATCTTGTTCTTGTTCGTGCAGCGGAGCGGAGCGTCGCGAAAGTATCCCCAGGCTACCCGACTTTTTGGTGGACCCCACTTGGCTGCCGGGGTTTCGATTCGCCGATAGGGCTGACATACAGGCAACTGCGCGCCCAAATTTCTTGAGACGTCACCAGCTGGGCTCATGCTTCGGGCACTTCACCGTCACCTCGCAGTCTTCCTCACTTCTCACACATCTCTTGTCGCCGAGCAGCCACCGCCTACGCACGTGCTCCATGGCCGCAGTCGCGTCAGCTCGGTACAGCATCCCCCACTGCGCTCCAGTCGCAACTTCTTCCACTAACATCGCCAACTTCAAGACCACCGCAGGTCGAGATAGCACGCCCCCCGAGCACACGCTCACTGACCCCGCCTCAAGCGCCAGTATGAGCGACTCCTGGAATCCGAATGCGCTGCCTTTCCAGCCCTGCGGCTTCGACCGTCGCGAGCAGAATTTCGGTGCATTCGAGAACCAGCTCCCTCTACCAGCCCCCCCTCCTCAAGGACCCCCAGGCCCATACGGACCACCGGGCGCGCCGTGGAACTCCAGCTTCCCGCCGCCTCCACCGCCACCGCCGCAGCATCCCCCGCACATGTTCAACAACCCGCACGCGTACAACGACTATGCGGCCCATCAACAGGCGCAGGCGCACCATCAGTGGATGATGCACAACGGCTATGGACACCATGCACCACCGCCGCCGCCAAACTTCCCCCCGGGCCCCGACGCTTTCGCAGGGCGTCCGCCTCCGCACATGCAGCAGCAGCATCATGGGCCTCCACCGTTTGGCCAGCCTCCATATGGTCATCCGCCGCACCACGGTCCTCCGCCCTTCATGCACCATCCGCAGCAACAGATGTTCGCGAACCGGGCGCTCCATCACACCATGCATTCGCAGGCGAACTTCCCGTATGGTGCGAGGAATGACGACATACAGTACGCTTTCGATGCCTTGTTCAAGGGTCTGAAGTCAAAGAACCGCAATGCTAATTCTCACAGGGCGCCAACTCCTCCAGGCAAGAAGTCGAAGTCTGGGCTTGCTGCCAACGGGCACGCCAAGCAGAAAGAGTATGGTACCCTCCACCGCATTGCTTCTTTTGATGCCGTGAGCTCCCGGATTAACAAATGCCATAGTGCTCCTAAGCCCCCCAAGACCGCCACCCCCGCCAGCGAAAAGAAGGGAAGATATGGCGATGAAAAGATCATGCTTCCTGCCCCGCAACCCACACAAGAGTACTTGGACCAGGCTGCTGGGGAACCGTCACCCACCGAGAACCCTGACCAGATGTTGGTGATTCTAGATCTCAATGGCACCGTCCTCTTCCGACCCAACCGTAATGCGAAGACCATGATCCAACGTCCGTTCCTGAAACCCTTCTTACGCTACCTGTTTGAGAACTTCAAAGTCATGGTGTGGTCCAGCGCTAGGCCAGACAATGTGAAGTCACTAGTTAGTCAAGCCTTGGACAACGATCTGCGGTCGAAACTAGTAGCACAATGGGCGCGAGACAGCTTTGGGCTATCGCCAACAAACTACCAGCAGAACGTTCAAGTATACAAGAACTTGAAGCTGGTATGGAGCCGAAGTCAGATTCAGTCATATCATCCACAGTACGAAACTGGCGGTCGATTCGGTCAGCACAACACGGTTCTCATTGACGACTCATCCATCAAAGCGAGCGCCCAGCCCCATAATCTTCTCGAGATTCCCGAGTTCTCAGCTACGCCCGAGCAGATGCAAGGCGACATACTGCGCGAAGTCGCTGGTTATCTGGAAGCACTGAGGCGCCAGTCGGACGTTTCCAAATTCATCAACAAAGAGCCATTCAAGGAAGGTGGTACCTGGACTTTCGACTGGCCTGACAATGTCGCGGGTGGTGGTGGTGAGATGACCAGCAAGGTTTCTGCTTCCACACCAAGTAAGAAGAAGAACAAGAAGAACAAGCAGGCCAACGCCGCGGCTGCTGCAAGTAGAACTAACACTCCTTTGTCGCAGACTACCCTGTCACAGACACCCTTAGCGCAAACTATTGACACCATGGCATCAGTGTCGCTCACTGCCTCAGTAGAGAAGGATTGGTAAAGCGAGGCTCGCTTCCGGATTGTGCGATGGAATATGTATAACTCTGAGCTTGCTTGTTTTTACGAAGCCGGAGTCTGGAGTATGGAAAAGTATTGCATGAGCAGTCTGCATCATTCACGCATTTAGCCCTCGATGCTTAAATCGAGGCTACGACGAGCGAGCATAATGTACAATCTTTGTGTCATTAAAACGCATTTAGCGATAATACTACTGCGTATGCACAACGATTTTGCTTGTATTTCCATTTTTGCGTGTACGTCACGGGCTGGTTACAATGGTAGGAGCAGTCCGAAATCTTTTGATGACCCCACCTTCCTACATCTCAGCCCCGCTCTCACCACGTCAAACCTTTCTACCGTCCAACGCAACCTGCCAATTTTCTCAACCTATTTGAGAAAAAAACTAATAATAGATTTTTTGTAACTGCCTTTTTCTTCATCGAAGCAACAACAGCAACACGGTCGCTTAGCTCAGTTGGTTAGAGCGTGGTGCTAATAACGCCAAGGTCGCGAGTTCGACCCTCGTAGTGACCATCCGGTTCATGTTCTTTCTTTTTGCCGCCTTGTAAAACCTGTAACAACCCTTTTTTACTCATTTCGGTGTGGTGAGGGTTTGTCACTTTTTTGTCGAGTGTGCGTACTAGCCCTGATGGGGGGGCAGCGCTCATTCACTACATGAGTGCTGTTTCTAAGCACACCTTTTCACGATATTTGACAATAGATCTCAAGCCTACTTTTTGGATACTCTAGGTTGTAAATTTCAACGTGCAAAAAAAAAGGGCAGCATCTGCCATTCAATGTCGCGTGACAACTACATGAGCATGTCGGCTTAGCAAGTAACAAGTCAATCCTACTCATGCTCACTTACATCGTCACTCTCCTAATCACAGTCTTTCTTACCTACCCACCCCTTACGGCTGCTCGGGATAAGCCGAGTTGTATGACAAATGCCGGTAGAAATTACATGGCACCTTTTCGCTATTCGCATTTGCTAGATCGATCTTGAATGCGCGCCTCAACTGCTCAATACGTGAATGAGATGAGTCCTTCAGGTGAGCATTTAGCTTAGATAAGGATGACCACAGCTTTTCCCTTTGTGTCTAGGTATACAGGGTCAATATGTGTGTTTTTCAAAGAGGAATAGAACATACCTTGAGTATCGTGGGATCCGCAACGCATCTGAAGCTGATCAGACCGGTGTCCTTGACGTTGACGTCGACCTTCTCAGTCCATGTCTTGACAAATAAATACCAATCTTTGAGCGGAACGTCGAGCTCGTCGTTCGTACCAACAGTAAGCAGTTGGCCTTTTGGAAATGCCTTCCAAGCCTCTAGACCCATGCCTTTTCCTTCGACGGCGTCTACGTCTAGCTTTTCATCATTGCCTCCTCCATCAACATCCAGCTCCTCTTCGATCTGCATAGGCGGTTCCTGCACTCTAGATTTACTAGCGCCCGAAAAGCTCACCTTTGCCTTGTCTTTGGCAACAGATTCTAAGCTCTTCGGTAAGTTGTGCTTAGTCCGCTAACGAATTAAGCTTTGTCTAGTCTTGCGAAGAGCTAGGTGTTTGCGGAGTGACGGTCGACATGGTAGCTCCTGTCCTTTGCAAGATTAATCATGGACGAATGATCTTTCAACAGCGGCCTGAGGGAGTTAGGGAAAGATCTCTGGTGGAAGATTTGAGTAGCCAAGGCGCGATAGCTTGATTAGTTGTGACGCGACGTTCACCGCGAAAGACCACTGCGTGTCCCTTCGTCATCATCAGTACTGCCACTAATTACAGTCCGAGAGTGGGTATCATTTGCATTAATTCCCATTCTTTCCATATTCTCTTGATCGAGAACCGCAGCGGTAAAGTCCAACCGTCATGGAGCGCAGTACCGGTCAAAGCACTTTTGAAAACTGTTCCAGAGCAGTGTTTCCACGCCGATGTGACCGTAAATGGCCAGCCTGTACAAGTGGATAGGCCATGAGATAAAGAAAAGTAACCACCGATATTAGAAATGTTCATGTGCGATGCGACACTGCAGTGTTCAAGAAAAGAAAGAAATGCAGTTGCGCATTGGCGGAAAGCTTTCCGTCAGGGAGATCGAATCAGCATAGCTTAGAGCCACGCCCATGACGTCATGTCACATCATCACCTCACGTCTATACCGCAGCTGCTATCCAAGCACAGAAGCCCTCAAAAAGCCGCCCCCCCCACCCTCATCTAGCGTATCTTTTGGATTCCATATTCAATGCTCATTTGCTCATATATAACGCCGTACATCATGCTATCCATGGTATATATCATTTTTCCCTCAAACCTTTGGTACTGCATCTCCCAGACTGCCCATGTCCATGCTCAGCGCGTCTCTACAAGCGCCGTTTTCACAAAGCATCACACCCTCTTTACTCGCATCCATGCTCTTGACTAGCGCGTTTCTCGACTTCAACCATTCACCTGAACCTTTACCCACTCTGCTGATCGTACCGAGTCCAGCAGGTCGCTCGCGGTACCTTTGCAGCCAGCCATCGACCTTCTGTCCTTCGCCTGTGATGACTGAATGCCTGACGCCGAGTTTACCCGCAACGACGGCGTCCATCATGCTAGGAAACAGGAAGGGGTGTTGCATGATTTCTGCTTCGAAAGCAGAAACTGTATCGCGCGCTTTCTTGGTGTAATCCTCGTCCTCTAATAGCGCACCCAGGCGGTCCAGATTCTGCGCTGAGACACCGTTTGTGCCTGGTTCAGCGTTGTCCATACCATCCTTCAGCCGCATGATCAGGTCCTTCTGATCTTCAGGTGTAGAGAAGAAACCAAGATGTTGCTTGTCCCAGAACATTTTGATTTGTGTTTGTTGGAGATCGTCTGCCCATTGCAGATATGAGTCGTTAAAGGTTGCTTCATAGAGGTCGATGAGTCCGGAAATGAGGTACGCGTAGTCGTCGGCGAAACCGGGTGCATCGCCTGGGCCTTCGCGCCAGACACGAATTAGCGTCTTGGAGTCGGGGTTGTACAGGTGTTTTTGAAGAAACGCAGCGGCCTTCTCTGCTGCGGCTAGATACTGTTTCGAGCGTGTAGCGTCCTGCAAAAAGATTGCGGCAGATGTCCTTGCTAGAGCGCCGATGGCAAGGCCGTTCCAGGAAACCACAATCTTGTCATCTAGACCCGGTCGCGGACGTTCTTGGTTACGATGGGCGAATAATTTCTGTCGACCCTCGGTAAGGATCTTATTGACATTATCTTCCGAGAGACCAAATTGTTTCGCGAGATCTGCGGGAGTTGAGGTGATGGCCAATACGTTCTGGTTGATAAGCTCGTCATGTGCGTCGTGTTCGGGAGCGACGTTGCCTTCGTCCTTGACATTGTAGTACTTGGCAACAATCTCGGCATCTCCCTCGCCTAGTATGTCCTGTAATTCATTCAATGTCCATACGTAGAAGGCTCCCTCTCGCTTTTCCTTGTCGCTCGGACGGTACAGCGAGTCAGCATCCTCGGACGAGAAAAAACCACCGCTCTCGGCATGCATCGGCTGAGTGGTGAGATAGGTCGCAATGTCGTGAACAGCTGAGAGGTGTTCAGGACTCCTCGTCATCAAGTATGCGTTCAGATAGACCGGTAAAAGCTGAGCCTGGTCGTAAAGCATCTTTTCGAAATGAGGCAAACTCCAGTCCTTGGTGACCGAATACCTCGCGAAGCCATTTCCAATCTGATCATGTATGCCACCCTTGTTCATCGCATCCAGTGTCGCTAGTACCATGTCTTTTGCGTACGTGCAATCCTTTGCTCCAAGGACCTCCTTGACCGCATTCGGGAATTGGGATAATTTCAGGAGGAACTGGAGGTTCGAGGGGGTAGGGAATTTGGGTGCGCCGCCGAAACCTGCATGGGCCTGATCGTATCTCTTCTTGAAATGCTAACAACCTGTCAGAAGAATTCCCGTGTTATTGATTGAAGAAGAACTCACTTCATAAGCCTCATCCAGCAGGTCCAGGTCAAGACCTTCATGAGCTGCGCCATCTTTCCTGCTGATGTTACCGTCTTCAGCAAAGTCACGTAGCTGTGCTGTGATCTCCTTTGCCGACTCGAGACACCTTTGTCGCTGATCTCGCCACACGTCCCGGATCTTCTTCAAGATAGCAACAAAGTCAATATGCTCTCCCATAGCCATGGTCGATCCTGGACCAGGCCAGTATGTACCGCCGAATATGGGTTCGAGGTCGGGGGTGATGAAGGCGTTCAGAGGCCAACCCCCCGAGCCTGTCGTGGCCTGGACGTAGTTCATATATATGCGATCAACATCTGGACGCTCTTCGCGATCGATCTTTATCGGTATGAAGTTCTCGTTCAGCAGCTTTGCGACCTCCTCGTTCTCGAACGACTCCCGCTCCATAACATGGCACCAATGGCATGCCGCATAGCCTATGCTGATGAAGATCAGCCTACTCGACTTCTTCGCCAGCTCAATTGCCTCCGGTCCCCACATCTGCCATGCAACAGGGTTATTCATGTGACCTCGAACATATGGACTTCGGCTCTCATTCAGGCGGTTCTTAAGCTTCAGACCATCGCCCGAAGAGCCGGGATGGCTGGAGTTGCTGAGGGAGTCCATTCTGAGGATAGAGGTGCGGAAATTGCGCTGCTGCGCGGGAAATGCGTTCGGCGGAGTCACAGCGGCTGGGGTGGGTACAGGGCGGGTAGGCGCGGTCGCGACGGGAGTACGGGCAGAGCGGCAGGATCCTCGAAGATTGAATCTCACGGGAGGCATACAGCGAAAGAAAAAAAAATAAAAACAAAAAGAGCTATAGTGAATTATGGTGGCGCAACGTTCGGCGAAACTATGGACGTTATCAATGGAGAGCTCCGATAGAGCTGCCGACTCGCAAGTTGCCCCGCCCCCGCCAACGACGTAATCTCCGTCACCCCGACTGGCCCAAATGGCTGTGGAGCAGCGCCCAGGGTTGGTTCTCTGCGACATGCGCCCCTTCTGACCTGCATCAATTTTACACGCTCAGTCCATCCACGCAGTACAGATTTTGCGGAGATGATGTTGCAAGGATCGACATGATATCACTTGCACTTCCAGCTGCGGAAGTCCTATGTACCTAGGCACGTCGGCCGAGCACCTCGCAGAGGCTTGTCCCAGAGAAGATTGACTTCCTGCCGGCCTGCAAGAAGGGTTGCATCATATGTCAGATTTTAGGGGCTGTGGAGAATTGACTGCGCTGCAAGCCTAGGCAAAAGCTTCAGTTTGCCAACCTTGTGCTGAGTTTTCTTCTAGAACGGTGATCTTGCAAGGAAAGCCCCTGCTTTTGAGGAGCTTTGAAACGGAACGTTGTTACATTATACGACAACTGTGCTTGTTCGAATAGTTTTGACGGTAATCGCATCTGACCTCGACGTAGGGTTCTGGATTATCCGGCTTTTACTACCAAGGGCTCAGCATACCGCATTGGCCTGCTGTCCAATCCGATTGAGAATGACGCTGCCTGGACAAGTTTAACGGGGTATGTGACTGCCACCGAAGGGGTTACTTACAGGATGATATTGAAA